TATTTCAGGTGAGATAGATTAGCTCCTTTTATTAGCTCCTTGTATTTCAGGTGAGATAGATTAGCTCCTTTTCTTAACTGAGTTTTTCTAACACCCCCAACACCAGTGGCCAACACCCCCACTTCAGTTTCCCTTGAAAGTTAACACAGGCCCTGCCTGTAAGTGAAAATGGGAGCTAGAGAAAGGCTGCCAGAACTGCCAACCCGCATCAATCCTGAAAAGGCCCTGCATGCATGAGTTCTCAAACACCAAACTCTTCAAAAAGACCGGGGGGGGGAAGCAAAATCAAAACCTTTCTCACCAGAATGATGTATTTATTTTTTCCCAGAAGAGGAATGTAAATCCTAGTGCTGAGTTCTTTATGAAGTTTCCACTCAATTCCTGGGAACCAAATTCCAATTTATTACAAAAAGTACCTAAATGAGTACTAAAAACAAAAAAAAGCAACAGATTTTAACACATACAAATCAAATATTATTTCCTTTCAACCTAAAACATACTTCCCATCCTTACTAACACTCGTGTTAAATTAGGAACAGTTGAGTTACAAAAGAAAAAAGCAAGAGAATTCAACCTTCTGGAATTTCTTTTGCATGTAAGAATCAAACACACTGCTCTGGGAACAACTGGATTGCACTTTATTTAAATACACACAAAATTGCACCGGAGCAACATGTCAGTTCTGTGAAATCTCATATAATCATAGCAAATATCTAACCAAAAATAGAGACGTTACATTTCTGTATATTGCATTTAAAACCTTCATCGTGTGAAAAACTATATATTCTTTATAAAGGATCATTAATCAAATATATTACTCAGTGTGTAGGACCCAAGATAAAATTTCTGTATGAACAGAAACAAATTAGTATGCCCACATAAATAGGAAGTCACATAATTAGTGTTACTGTAAACCAGCTATACTTACAACACGAGCAGAAAAAATAACTGAGGATGATGCTAAATGTTAGAAACGTGAGGCAAACCATGAATGTCTCATGGGTACGGGGATGATTTAAGATAAGACAGCTCCTGTCATAATGAAGGGCACGAGGTATGCAGAACATCCTTCATTTCCGTTGAGTTCACTTGTAAGGAACGACATTTGTATACAAGAGGGGCGCGTTGAGAAAAGCAGAAGGCTAAAACCAGTTTTCTGAGGCCTGTTCATACAGCAACAACAGAAATAGCGAGTGGGGATTCTCTGAATCACGTCACAACCAAAGCTACAGAGCTAACATTTCCAATGGTACGGTGCTCTTGAGATGCTGGAACCTGAGCTGAGACACACACGAATAGGAGTCAGAATTTCAGAAATGAGCATGTACGAGTTTTATAGAGGGCCTGATTTCTTAAACAGCTCTGTTTGCACAAACTTCAGCTATACAGAGTCTCTCCACAGTGAAAAATAAAGCTCTGCATTGCTTAGGCTTTGCCAAACCAGGTCTATGAAGTGAACCAGACGTTACATACTTGCCTTTCAGTACCAGAATTGAGTTTTTCCACATCAAATAAGAAAAATTTTAAGAATATTTGAATGCATGTAGTTTGACAGCAGAAAAACTTAAATATGGCCAGGTGATTAGATCCTAGGATTGTCTGCATTTTATGTCTGTAGGTGGCACATGAAATGAAGTTAAGACTGTGTGTTCTGATTAACATCATGATTAACATCAGTTACAATTTCCACCTTTTGTCAGTCACAGATACCCACAGGCAGTTATGGTATTTTTAAAGCTTAGAGCAGCTTTAAAAGGGTCCATTAATTCCAAGGGTGTTGCTAGCCTGTCCATCTAAGAAGAAAAGAGAAGAAAACCAACACCATTCAGAGCTAGTTCCTGTTGCTCATGTTTGCTTAGCCTGTTAATTATTATTTGAGACCGCTTACAGAGGCTTACAAGTGTAAACAAGAATGACAAACAGACAGACATCCTTCAGTGGCAGTAAAGGCATCTAATTAGTGACCTACAGAATATCACACAGACAATTGTAGCTCGAAGACAGAACCTATAGCAAAGCTGCTCCTACTGATGTTATTTTACTCTTAAGATAGGCGAATGACAAGAATAAAACAAAAAGATACTTTAGCTGATGTTTTTCAAACTAGAAACACCAGATTAGTAGGGGATACGATGCACAAAATGAAGTCCTTAATGTAGCATCCAATGAATCAGAAAGAATTTTAACCCCATAAAATCTATTCGGATATCTGAATATTCAAAATAACAACATAAAAATTACCCTAAAGCATTTCTTCCCTCTGATGAGGCTGTTTACCCTTGGTCCCACTAGAAGAGAAAATTAAGCAGGTCTATTTCTGATAAATGAGCTGAGCAAATTAGTAGAAACACAGTCTATAAATAGTAGATTTTTTTCTGCTATTTATATGCTGTCTGATTTCTCAAACTTATTGGTGGGGGAAAAAAGTAAAAGCACAAAAAGTGAGGAGAGCACTAAGGAGGCAGTAGGATAGGAGTGCTCTAAACCAAAATCTAGCAGCTTCTGACAGTCAACTCATTTTTCAGGGTGTTGATTAAAGCTTTAGTGTTTACATGATCTCCAAAGTGAGATGCAGCATAAGTGTGTGCTAGACTGGTGAACACCCAGCCTTCTGTTGTCACATCACACGTTTAAAGAAATAAAGCAGGAGCACTTACATCCGCAGTACTGTGCCTTTCATTAATACATAAAAATTTTCTGTCTCTTGATAATATTTGTACAACACAGAGGACATTTATTAACTGCTTCAGCACATTCCTTACACGCAACCAGGTGACCACAGGGAATGAGGACTACTGATATGTCTTTAGCCATACAGATTTTACAGAGCTTTTCTTCCTGCAAGCGTCTTAACTTCTCTTCAATACTGAGATCTAAGAAAAATAAAGACACAGAAGGTAGTTAGCGTGCTTTCATAGTGCCTCATCTCATTTTTTTCCCTCTCCACAGAAAGAGGAAGGATTTTCTTTCCGTGTTGTTTAAAGGTTACACCTTTAAAAAGAAAAGAAAACAAAAACAAATCAAAAAAGTCCACACAAGATGAGAAACCAAACTAAAATGAAATCCTCAACTGTTGTTTTTTCCCCACCTCCCAGACCAGTGCAGGGAATTCAGCTATCCATATTGGCAAGACATTGAAATATCCGTGGAATGTAGGATATGCATATTGCAACCAGGGGCCATTTTTTTCAGACTTCCCACTGACAGCTTTCTCAAAACCTACACAGAAGGTGGAGGAAAGGTTCATCAATCCTGGTTAAGTAATTTGGATTTTCTTTTCCTCAGCAAGTTTCCTCAGGTTAAAGAATGAGGATACCATCACTTCCCCCCCTGCTTCTGTTTATGAAAATGCCTACACTTCAAAAGCTTAAAGAACTGTCATACAGAAATAATTTGTTTTGCATTGTAGATTAGCTCTGTAATTTCTAGTAAGCCTCATTTGAAAATACACAGTACAGAAGCCTTCTACAGCATGGGGAAAGTTCCCTGCAGTCAGTCACAAAAATAATGCCCATCTTCATTGCAAATTCTTTCTCTGCATAATATCCATGAAAAATGTTATTACAAGGAATGGGCCAGTGAGATCCCTGCCTGTCGTGCCACCCAGATGGGCTTTTCTCTCCCTATGAATTCATCCATATGGTTGTCTTCAAACTACAAATAAGCTCTTAATTCAGACAACTTGTTTCTGGTCAACCTGCAGAGCATACCACAATGGCTTTCCTGAGCAAGGCTTACACGCCCCAGCACAACTGCAACACCAATAATTAAGAAGGAACGTTGTCCACAAGTACATTTCCTTATTGGCCAAGAAGGAGAATGCTTCTGTTCAGTGCTCTTCGTACTGGCACCAATTTTACACTTGAAAAACTTCAGCAGAGAGGTATTCAATTTTTTGTACATTGAATCTTTGACAATCAACTGTGTTTATTTCACCACAGTCCCCACATCTACAATAATCCTTGCTGCTGTCACAGTAATGTTGACTTTTTAGTTAACCTCAGAGGGCACTGGACTATTATCTCAATATTATACTGTTTTGTGGTATTAATACTAAATTTATTTTGTACAGGACATGCATACATTCTACTAACCTCAAGTATTTTAACACCCCCTCGTTCAACTTCTTTGATGCCCCAAAGTAATATAGAGTTTTAAGTTCAACACTGTAACTTCATGTTAAGCAAGACTTGAGTCAGAGGGCAGAATGAATAGATAATGATAGGATGTACCTCATAGACAAACAAGTTATTATGAAAGTACACACACAGGTTTCACAGTTTACTGAGTTCACCTTGCTCAAGTGGGCTTTCTTTTGGTGGTTCTCCCTTTGCATTTTCTTTCTGAGCACTTATTAAGTCTGCTACCAGATCCTCAACAGATGTATAGCTTTCTCCAGACATGTGCAACTTCTTTTCCATAATGCTCCTAATCTCAGACAAACTGAAACCCATGTGTATGGCATTCTGTACCAACTGATTCTGTAAGAGGTCATCTAAAACAACAGAAGGGAAAAAAAACACCAGTTTAACAGAGATGAGACTGAATAAGTGACAGTATTCATTATATTTAAAACTCCTTTGCAGATATTTAGCAAAAAGAACTACATTTCTGTTTGCACAGCTCTGCTACTTTTAAGTACTGCACTGGAGAACTCGAGAGCGTTTCAATCCTTGCTTTCCCAGTCTCTTCATCCACTTATTGTATGGAAATCCCCTCGATTTGCTATTCAAATCAACTACTTCAACATTTTTCAACATAATTCCTTAAATCACATCCTACATTATTAACATCCCAAATTCCAAAACTGAGCATTGACTGCAATCGTCAGAAATCCCAGGGAACAATAAACACAAAAGTATTTGCTAACTTCACATTAGTTGTAATGCAGTTCACAAAAAACCCATCCATCTGATAATAGAAACCAACACATACCATGAATTTATGAAACTGAAACACAAGCACAATCATTTCAGAATTTCTGAAGCCTTTCCAGGGTACCACACAGCACTCATTAAGACACAACTGCTCTTCAGCCTGTGGGACTTCCTCCTCTCTCTCTTTTTCAATGTAATTGTTTGAATAGGTTCTCCAGCAGTGTGCCCTATGTCCAACTTTCCCACAACATGAACAACTAATTTCTTCTTTACCTCACATTACTGAGCAAAGAGCAAAATCTTTAAACAATTTCCTCTCACAAACAAGCAATATTTGAAAAGTTTTAAAAATAGGTCTTGTGCAAGCACTCTTATTGGAAGAGCTTTAATTCCACGCCATGCTGCAGCACGGCTGTCAGCCTATTGTTCCTTTCAGATATTCATAAGAAACTTTATTCCAGCAGAAGTCATTCCTGCACATAAGTTAAGCTTTCTCAGCTTCTTTGTCATTTTGCAATTTAACTCTTCCCAACTCATGAAAAGCAACAACAATCATTTTGTTCCAGTATCCTGCAGTGTTTGTCCTGCACCACTACTAATTCAGTGCAGCCATTTTCACAAATCTTCTTCACAACATTTATCCATTGATGATTAGTTATCTTATCTCATTAGTTCTTATCCCATGAGAAACAAAATTCACCGTGCAGCTGCTTAGAAGGAGCGAAGCAGTAGAAGAATATCATCCAACAACCTGCCTGCTGTTTTTGAAAAATGTAATAGAGTTAACTTAGAAATTAACAATTTGCTTCTATTATGATTGTTATTTTTAATATATACCTTTAGGAAGTACTGTAACTTCAGCAGCTTCTATCTAAAAAATAAATAAAAAGATGACAAAATTACAATTCTGGAATGAGTACAAGGAAACCTGTACAGCTGCAGGGCACAAAACAGCTATTTGATCCCAGTTATTTTATTGAGTGAAACTACTATAGTTAGAGCAGATTTGTCCTGCTCTGAACATTGGCAAAGGGCTCCATACTTTATTATGGCATTCACATTTCTTTAAGCTTTCACTTTGATATTTTTTTGCTGCTATAAGATGTACATGGTGCTTGGTTCCCAGCCTACAAGGATTAGCATTTCAGTACAGAATATAAAACATCTATAAGGCACCCAACCTGGCATTCATTACCTAAGTAGGGACAACTGTACAGTCTATGAAGCTCAAATAGCAGAATCAAAACATCCTTCCATGTTTTTTACTTTCTGCCAAGAAAAGAAACAGCAGGAAGACTAAAAGTTATGCAGATGATCAGAAGATTGATTTCATATGAAAATTGTTAAGATTGTCTTCTACTTTAGTAAAATGATATTTTATTAATAAGAAACTTACTGTTGAATCCATACATCCGTCTCTTAAGTGAACATTATTTATAAATTCTATTCCCTTTTCCTCTCTCAAGAACTTGCACCTATAAACATAAACATTTATTTATCATATAACTACATACGCAGCAAACAGAGCTGATAATGTAACTTCATAAAGGTTTGACACAATTCCTACTTCATATAGAGTGCTTGCTTCCCAAATCTCAACATCAGTAATATCACTTAAGTGTTTCCAAACAGTTCTTAACTGCTCCAGCAGTACTTATGTGTTGCAGTTATGGTGAAACAGAAAGCTAAAGATGTTGGCCATGCTGCCTTGTGCTACAGGTTTATAGAAGGGAAAAATTCCAGTGGATAACGAATAGTTAACACCATGTCAAAGCACTGGCTCTTTTAGTAGTTTGCCATCACAGAAAAGCAGCCATTGGTAATGCAGATGCCTTGTGTTTTCTTTCTTTATTTTCCAACCAGTCCAAGCTACTGGGCAGTAGCTGGGGCAGATTTTATTTATTTACACAAGTGTGGCAGACAGACCTTTGTTCACTGCTGGTGAAAATGCACACCTAATGGTGGTGGCTATGCTGAAAAATAATGTTTTGTAGCTGAGAATGTGCTCTGTCAGACAGTGCAATTGTGCTTTTTGCAGCTGTTGTAGGTTCCCCATAAATAAATGAGACGTTACTTTTGGAATCATCTATGTAGTATATTGTGAGACTCTGAAACACTGACACTGATGTGGATGTGCAAACCAAAAAACCTCCACTGCCATAAATAATGTCATAAAAACAAGATACTAGGAAGACGACTCAGACGCGCACGTCCCCGTTCATTGCAGGGGAGTTGGCCTAGATGACCCTCAAAGGTCCCTTCCAACCCCAAGGATTCTATGGTTCTACGATGTGCAGAAACAAAGAATACCTTACCCAGGAAACCACTTGGCGTGTTGGTCCCACGGGTCTTCATTTTCCTTCCACTCCTGCAATCCTCCACCGCAGTGGAAGCACACAACGTGATCACCATTGCCTTGGGAAACAGCCAGGTTACAATTTTTAGTAGGTGTGACAGTGAGTTCTCAGCTAAAACATTATCACAGAAAACAAGCATTTGTATTACTTACTAGAAATTGTCATTGGGAAAGACTCTGTTTTAAAGAGCACAATAAATATGATCTGAAACAAACATTCAGGAAAAAAATTGGCCTGATAGTCACATTAAATAAAGTCACATATAGTATTCCATAATTCTAATTTAGCAAGTAATTAAACAGATAAAAAGCAAATGCTCAAGAGTCTATTATCAGACAGCACATTCCACTGATAAACAAGCCATTAAGTGACTACCACAAAAAATTTATTTGGAAAGTAATTGACACAACTTTATCTGTCCTCATGACCAGAGTTCTGCTTTCTATTTAAGTAACAGTTAGGCAAGAATGGAAATCACTAACAGGAACTTAATTCTAAAGGGTGTTCTTTGCTCCTCCATTTCACCACTAAAATTAATGGGTTCTACACAGCAGCAGCACAACTGCTGGCAATTTCTGAAGAAATGGCATTCTTCAGCACTAGCACTGTGCCTGCTGCCATCAAACACTGCACAGGAATTGCTCAGATTTATGCTGATTGAAATGACAGGAGGTAAGGCTACTTTTGTTTTTTTTCACCAAAACCAACTCCTTCCCAGCCCACCAGAAATGCAGAAGCCACTTTAAAAGCCATTTGGTCAGATAAACTGCCTGTTTAGTTCACCTCCATGGTACAGATCTCTCTTGGCCAAGCTAAACTATTTACTGTTAGGAATCCAAGATGGAACTAATAAAGCAATTCTACTGAGTACAAATACTGCCTGTGTTCCACTTATGTAAGAATATATCACGAGTTTTATTTATGGCCACAAGTAAAACAAATGGTATGAGATTAAAAAGCTCTTCTGGGAGCTACTAAGAGAGAATCCAATTAAGATGAGAGCAAGAAATTATCCCGGATAATCTCCTTTTCTTTGTGACCTAATAATAGCATAACTTCACATAGCACCTCTCAGTAAAGCATTTCAAAGAGCTTTCTCTGCACCATGCATTCAAGAAGGAATTATTTGCCTTCTCCAGATTGAAAAAAGCAACGCACAAAGATATCAGAGCCTCATCCAAATGATATGCTGTATTTCTAAGAGTGAAATCCCTTCCAGCAGAGTCCTTGTCTTTAAAGCTTTTACAATAGGTAATAACGACACTTGCTTTTTTTGGTTGTCTGGATGCCATGATAATGTAAGCACATGAACTCATTAAAATGGCATATAACCTGTGCTGTCTTGTTCAGAAGCTTCACAGCGACACACTTGCTCTTTAGACCTGAGGTGGTTACCTGCAGGATGGCACTTTGTTTTTTAAACTATTAGTTTCAATAATTGCCATTGTGAAAGATGTGTTAGGAGGGTTTTAGCAGCTAAGGAAAACTCACTTTGATGCTCTACTGCTAAAAATATATATATATATATATATATATATATATGATAATTTTGTATTATGCTAATAAAATACCTGATAGATGGATATAATCTTGCAAGAGAAATGCAAGAAGTAGTTTGTAGAGGAAAGCAGAATGAATTTCAATTCAACTAAAAATCTGGCAGAATTCTACATTAGAATAGGAAAATGCTTATATTTTTCATAATAAAACATATTTGCACATTTATTTGTAAAATATATCTTTGTCATCTGGAGGTCTGTCCTACCTGTGCTGTAGAAGCCTGCCTCAGCAAGATGTTCCTTGTTAACAGGGTGCATCCAAGTTAGAAACGTTTGTATCCTCCTCTCATATTCTACCATGGATGGATTCCTCGGATGCTGTTCGTTGTTCAGACAGCTTCTCCCAAGCTCAGCACAAACAGATTCAGTTGAAACGTTTCCAACCTCCCGACCCAGGACAAAAAAGCACTTGGGAAAATGCCTCTTGTGCTCAGACCAAGCTCGATCGCCAGGCTCCCAGTTTTTCAGTTTCCCACCACAACAAAAACATGCGACTTGATCACCAACACCTGTGTAGTAGAGTCCTGCACTAGCTAATTCCTTTGGAGTCAACAGGCCGTAGGGGGGCCAGTTGTGAAAGGACTTCAGCCTGGCTTCTTCACTGCACATAGAGGGGTTCTTAGGATACAGAGTATCAGACATGTCCACAACCTGCCTGGTTCTCAACAAGTAATCTGCCTCCACATCAGACAGGTCCTCCAGAGCAGGCGAGAGAGCTAAATTGCTGGAGCCATTTTCAGTTCTATGCCGGTGGCTCTGCACAAGAGGATGTACGTTATTTTCCAAAAACACAGACTCAGAAATAAATCTGCAATCTGGGGAAAGGTTTTTGTGTCTGTCAACCGCAGAATCCCCAGGCTGCCATCCTTCAACAGTCGCATGGCAACTGAAGCACTTGACTTTATCACCTTCTCCAGTATAAACAAAGCCAGCTCGAGCAAGCGCTGATGCTGAAACTGGACAATCAGGGGGAAACTCCACAAAGGTTCCCAGTCGGTCGTGTTCCTGGCTCCACTCCTGGTCGCCATCAGTGGCTGGAGTGGCACCAGGTTCGGCGCCATCTGGGCCATTACACGTCATCTCTTCGTAGGGCTCTTCCTTCAGTTCCCTAAACAAAGCATATTTGTGTTATCTTCAGACAGAAGGACTCAGGACACGCTCCCAAGCACAGAAATGAGCTACATTCAACTGGCTGCATTTTATGTATTAAATTAACATCCCCTGTTCCCTCCCACCTCACCATCCAGAGTCAAACCAAAATAAAAATAAAGCATAAGAAATGGCAGGAAGATTACGAAACATTATGGGAATGCATTACAAAACATGACTAATAAGAGCGTGCCTGGAAAGCATACAGATTTACACAGATTTACACATCTATTTAAGAGAATACTTTATTTTTTAGCAAGTGAATACTGAAAGAGTAATGAAATTAAGGAAGAATTAAACAAAAGCTGTCAAAAGGCTTCCAAGCCAAGAATATGGAGTTATAGAATTAAATACACAATCTAATGGAATAAAACATCTGTCAAATTTTGACTGGCTGCAGTAACTCCTTTTGAGAGAAACGCTGGAGCACTTTCTTGACTGGTCAACTCTGCTTAGACAGGATTGTACAGAAGGAAAAGCAGGGTGGAGGAAAGAGGCTTGTTTGAATGCACTCATGCCAAAGCACTGATACATGAGACCAACAAGCAGGGAGGGAGGAGACAGAAAATAGTATTTTTCTGAGGTTGCAAAGTATATTCCCCCCACAAAGACCTAATTGATGGAGTTGGCCTCAGAAAAATAACTAACTAACTAAATGAGGTACAGGTAAGCATTACAAATTAGAGCTATCTCTTAAAATACACTGCCAAATAGTTTAGTCTTCAACAGAGAGATATCCCTATCCTCTGGAGAGGACTCCGGAAAGGCCCAGCAACTGCAGTGACTGACTCAGGTACGAGATTCATCTGGCTGTTTTTGTCTGTAACAACCTTTAGCAGAAGGAAGTGACAAATCCTACATCCATGGCTCTCCCATCAATTCACAAAGTGCTGCCCAGCTGCTGAGCAGAGCAGAGCGAGACAGAGCAACCCTTTTCAGCTCCAAGGCAGATGCTGACTTCAAGAGCTGTGGCCCCTCGCTCTACACAATGTGAAGTGCACAAAATACTTAGGAAAAGAAAATAAATCACAGAAGTTTCCCATCTTTTAACTGAAACGCTACAAAGCCAAATGCTAATCCTGAAAAAGCACGCTTAGCCTTACAATCAACAATGTCAAATCCAGCAGATACCTTTCATCTATCCTTATTTTTCTTCCCATAAACATGCACAGGACTTACAGCACAGCCTGGAAACAAAGTACAGTTTTAGTTCCTCTCTGAGTACACACTGACATTTTTAGTGCCTCACAAAAGCAGTGCTTTGGTAGCTGCATTTACAGAACTGCATGAGTGAAAAACTCCTCTCCTTACCCCACAGCAAAAATGACACAAGGTCTGGATAAAACAGTACTGCATTTCTTTTAAAAAATCCCCCCAAAACTCCTAGCAATAACCTTTCCAATAAGCCAACCAACTGAAGGTTGATTCCTTTTTTAGCTGTACCATGCAAACAAATACAGGGCACGCCAAGTCACAGCCAGTGGTCAAAGGACATTTCCCTCTAGAGCTGCTAAGCCAACAGTGATTTCAGAGCACTGAGAGCATTCAGGAAAGTCCAGAAGCAAAACGAGCAACCAACCCTGGCAATTTTCACTGGAAATCTTCATATCCCCTAAGTAGTTCTTCTTGCAAAACTATTATGTTTTGCTCCCTCCATTTGTGACAAAAATGCTTCAAGGAAGCACCTACCTAACTTGTTATGGGCAGGACATCATTAATGAACAGCACTTATAACCCTTTTGGCACACAGGGCCCTTTCCCCAAGAGTGTACATCCAACCTCGGGGTGCCAAGTGCAAGAAAGGGTGCTGTGCTTCTTCAGCTGAATGACACTGTGGTGCCTGAGAGTAAAGCTTTGATGCACCTGGCTTCCCCTGGTGTTTACAGCAGCTCCTCAGCTGTCTGGAATGAGTTTGAGCCAGCACACAGCAGCTTCTCTCACCCAGGTGGCCGCTACAGCCTTCTGCTGCTTGTGCCAGTTAGGAATGTGCTTTATACCCATAAGATAGATAAAGCAAATGAGAAACTTTCCATACAGGTGCCATGCACTACCTGACAGACACACTCCGCACTGCCAGCAGTTACTGCCATCAAAGGTTTCAGCACAGTGCTACAGAAGCACGTGCACACCCAAATCCAGCCCTCTGTGACAGCTCTGTTCACTCAGTGAGAAGCATTTCTCTGAGACAGTTTGAAGGAAAAAAAAAAAAGAAAGAAGACACTTCAAATAGTGTAACACTGAAAACACCTAGAAACCAGTAGGGCTCTGGCTGGCTCTGAGCTTCAGTCCTTCAATAGCTGTGTTAATACTGATTTTATTTTCTACAAGGTCAGTGCAGATATTACAATTATTGAATTATTCTCTTTGCTTAAACAATACTAGATCCAACCTCCACAGGAAGTGCAAAAGCTTTTTTTACATTTCAGAATGGGGAAGGGAAAATTATGATGCTTTGCAAGATCGTGGCACACTTGGCCACAATCAAAAAGTGAAGGAGCCAGCAGGCAGGCTGAGAAAACACTTCAGAGGCTTACTGCTTACTGCACAGCTGTGGGCACAAGGCTGATTTTGAGCACCACAGAATCACAGAATGGCCAGGGTTGGAAGGGACCTCAATGACCATGAATCTCCAACTCCCTGCCACACGCAGGGCCACCAACCTCTACATTTCATACCAGCCCAGGCTGCCCAGGGCCCCATCCAACTGGCCTTGAACACCTCCAGGGATGGAGGGGGCATCCACAGCCTCTGTGGGCAGCTGTTCCAGCACCTCACCACTCTCATAGTAAAGAAAAAATAAATACTAACGTGCACTAGGCGAACTTCTTTATAAATGAATGCACTGCTTACAGTAAGTCATCATTTTTCATGTTGTAAATAACGTTGTATTTTGTCAAAGCAACCTGAACTCATACTGTATCCTGAGTAGGGCCCCAAAGTCTGCAGTGCCCTTTCCAGGGCTGCCCTGCAGGTCATCCTTCAGCTGCCTGTGCCAGCTCAGGCTCTGCTGCTTCTCTGGTGTCTTTCACAGAACCACTGCCCAGCCCCCTCTGTTCTAAAGATTTTCGTCACAAGTAATCTTTTCTTTTTTTTTTTTTTTTTTTAAAGTAACTTTTTTTTAAGGAAAGTTTTGTTTCCAGAATGTTTATAAGCACATCATGCTTCATCACGCCTTTTTTCCTTCCTCTCCTGAAATACCTTCTCACCTTTAAAAATAAAGGCTGTAGAACTCAGAATATCCCGTGGGTGGCACACTGGGACAGACTCTCCTTGCAGAAGTAACAGCATCAGACAAACTACTACATACATCAGTTTGTATTCCTTATTCCACTTCCTCTGCTGATCCTCTGGGTGTCTGCTGGAAGCTGGGTGCTGTAAGGACACTGAGGAGCTTAGAAGGGAACACTTGGGCAGAGAGGGAAAGAATGGAAGGCTAAACTGAAACATCAGCTCTGTTGTGTAATATTTTAGGACTACATATCAGATGGGATAATGACAAAAAGCAATATCTTGCAAAGCAACAGAACTCCAAAATGTTATTTAACTTTATTTAAGCAAAAGAAAAAAATTCAGTTTATGACCAAGGAACATAAAGTAATAATATGTAGCCACCTCACACACATATGTAACACTTCATGATACATGCCAACAGTGGGCCTGAGCTCAGAAAAGAATTTACTTAATCCTTTCCACATAGATTTAATTAAAATGTCTGTGATTAAACTTAGTCTTCACTTAGAAAGCAGGAGATGTATTATTAAATATCTCCTTCTATATGAAGTGAGTAAACAAAGCCTATTTTAACCTGAAAGACTTCCAGAAGCTGAGCCAAGTTCCATCCTATTTTTAGGTACCTGAAGGTTACTTGCCACAAGGCATCTCCCACTTTCAGGCTGAAGTACCCATTTAGATGGTCTACTTTTTAAGCTTCAGATGGGGGGGAAAAAAAGACCAAAGTTCACAGTAGAACATTACTCAACGTGCAGAACTGTATGCCTAAGTTTTACCAATCAGGCATTTCCAATTCAAGTTCTGTGCAAATTATGATTTTACACAAAAACACGACACCATCACATTACCTCGGGCTGGAATGCTTCAAAGGAAAAACAACCAATCTGCTTTTCTCTCTCAAGCACGTTATCACACATTATTATTTCCATCCTCAGCCCTAAAACAGATGACATTATAAGGAGTTATTTTTAATTCTTGCCTCTTTCCAAAGGCCAAGCATGGCAGCAACCCTCAAACCAGCCGGCCCGTGGCACAGCCTCGCGTTCCTGGCCACAGCATGCACTCGACACAGACCTTGCACTGCTTGACACGCTCGCTATGAGAGCAATGTTAGTGTTTATTGTCGACCCAATTCTGAAATGTGAGAGCAGTGCACCAAGTAAATATCAAGCAGGACACGCCGTACCAGCTGATGGCACATACCACGCACCGTGCATATGTCACTTTGTGCCTGCTCAGCTGCAATCCGATCAAAGAAGGAGCTACTCACTGAGCTGGACTTACAAAGATGAACAAGGAAAGAAGCCTTAAAAGTATTTACAAATTTGAGCACATTCATATCTACATATCAGTAGTGATTTAAGAAAAATAACTAGCCATTTTGCTTGGAGAGATCAGTTTGTTTGAAGCAAAGAGGGAAGGAACGTGCACAACACACTTTGCTTTGGCACCAAATCTTATCTAAGTGCATCAGCTGATATACAGGGTTTTCAGACCAGCCCTACTTAGCTTAGCTTCCCACTGGGGAAAAGGAAGGAATGAAGTCCCTTGCAAGTGCTTCATACACAGCGCCAGAGAGAGGTTGGCCTTTTCAATTTGGACACAAGAAAACCTATCCAAAGCAGAAGTTCAGATCTGACAGTTACTGCCACTGAAATGAATTGCCTGCAGATGACAGTACCTAAAAATAAGGTAGAGGAGAATGGAAAAAATAAAAATAAAAAAAATCAAAAGCTTCCCACCAAATCCAAACCTCAAGCATATTGAGAACAGGTGGAAAGAGAGTCTAAAGGCAAAGGCAGAGAACTCCAACAGCACCCACCTTCACATAACCCCCCCAGAACAAAACACACAAAAAGGAAAAAGCAATCCTGACAGAGTCAAATTTCCCCAGCAGTTCTAGTGGGATGACTGTTCTATATGTAGCATGAATGGAAATATCACAAAATATTGTGCAAGAGAGGCACTGTGCTCTTGTAGCCATACAGGAAACTGTCTGTGATTTAGCTGCCATTTTTTAATTACAGATCCTTGGAATTGCACCATTTAAGCTTAAGGAGATTCTGTAAGTATTCTTTCCAGATGAACTGTATGGAAATAAGAAAATTAACATAAGTGGATTTTTTTTTTGTTTTGTTTCGTTTTGCACATTTTGGAAAATCAGCCTATCAGCTTTTCCCATGCTGTTTCCATATCCCTTACCAATAACTGAATGTTCTCAAATATTTTACTGGCCTCCCTCTTACAAAAGGCCTCTTGCACATTTCTAATTCTGTAGCACCACAAAACAATTACATAAAGGGAAAACAAAAATGTATTTTTTTCACAAATTATTCATTTTTATATTCTACATATATTTGAGAAGTATAATTTAAGTGGTGCAAAATTTCATTCCATATTGTTTTCATGCTTTTAACTTTAGAACTTCTAGCTCCTACACTTCTGTATCATCAATGGGAATTTGATTTAACTTCAAGATCTGTGTAAGAAAACTGCAGCTGAACTTGCAGAACCATTGGTTTTGATAGCGAAGAGCTTAGAGTCCGTACTTAACACAGCACTCCAAATTGAAACACTTTCATCCATGCAAGCCTACAGTACTCCAGGGGATTGGTTTATGTTCTTTTAAAGCTAAGGTTAATAGGATGACCATTAGTTGCCTCCAAGTTGAATTAGACAAGCAGTCCCTCACAGAGCACCAACCCTAACAACTCTGACCAAAACAGACACACATGCCTGAGCTACAACAAAGCACTTCAATAAGCAAAGAAGCTGTGCCGTGCCAACCCTCCTAAAACCCAACATTAGGAGCAACTGGGGTCAATTCCCAAGTTTAGAAACAGGAAAAAAGTATCCATCAGCAATTATAAATGTATCACTGCAGGAATACAGAGTTACTGCTCTCCTGGGTTACGGAAGAGAAAAAAAAAAAAAGCAACGCCAGTCAATGGGAATGTATTTACTAAATGGGCAATGATAAAAGCTGCCTGCAAAACCTGCAGTGACCTTGGGCACACCTCCCTCCTCCAGTATGAGCTGTGCTCCAGCCTGCAGCATCACACGCTTTTACTGCTCAGCTAGAAAACATTTATGCCTACAACTGAGGGAGAAGACGAAACAAGAGATCAGCTCTCCTCAAGGGGACATAACAAGACTGGGCTTCAGCTGCAGTGAAATGACAAATGCCACAGCAAAACTGCCGAATCCTTGGGATTATAAAGGAAGAAGCTGCAGAGCAGGGCAGAGCAGGGAGCCACGAGCTCCGCCCAGCAGGGCTGCTCACACTCCGACGTGCAAACGGCAGCCCATGGGCACGGCACCACGGCACTGCCCAGAATGACTAACATCAATGCTTGGTCATTCATTGCTGGGCTGAAATGATGAAATGACACACACAAATTGGTGTGCATACACACAGCTGTGAGCTTGGAATCTCTCACATTACCTATGCCCTGCACTTTAATTTGAAGTTTGTTAGCAAGTTGGGATGACTTGAGGACCAATTCTAACACAGTATCAGAAGTTGAAATATGAAAATTGCACCTGTTGAAAGCACTCAGCTTGCATTTCTGTTTAATAAGGAACTATTCAGGACACAGAAGGGGAAGGACAGCAAACTTCAAGACACATGCAGTTTCATTTTATGTTTTATATTGCATAAGTGACACTGTTCACACAGGATGGCTTCTCAGTTCCAACAAGATTCCACTAAGCAAGCTTTAAAATAGAACCTGCCTTCTAGTAAAGAAGATTTTGGATAGTCATCAAGGCCAAAATTAACACAGAAAGCACACAGGTTCTCTGGTAACAATTTTCAGTTGTGCACGCAGTATTACAATTTCCATTTCCAAAAAAGGAAACGTTCCTAAAACTGGAACTCACGAAATCAACTTCTCCTCATGAAATCAACTTCTGTCCCTTCTTCACCTACTCAACAGCAACATATGAAGGATCAAACATCTTATTGCTGGCATCCACTTGATGACCAACCAAGGATGGAAAAGGCAAAAAATGAAACACTCTGTGACATAGTCTGAGCTGTTACAAAGCATCACCGATTAAAATACTAGCATTCCTAGTCCTGAAGGACAACCCAACTCAGGCTGTGCAACACGCCTTCCTCCATGTTCTCGTGCCTTCAGCCTTTCTGCACAACTGCTATTTTCTTCCCCTTAGGTTCAGAAATCTATTTCTAGAGCCTGACTTTCAATAGTTGCGTTCAGAGCGTTTTGAACAGAGCTCCTCGTGGATCTCTTGCTATGAAAAATAAGAAGCTGCAGGAGACTACACTCATTAACTCCTGATAGAAAAGAAGGCGAATGCAAAGGGTATTTACAATGGCTTTCCCCTAGGAAATTAGTACCCTGTCACCAACCAAGGTCAGCAGCAGATCAACCAAAGCAGATATTAGTTTCACCTGTTTTCCACCAATCTTTAGGCAAAAATAAATAAATAAATAAAAACAAAATCTTTTCCTTCACAGGGAGTGCTTCATCAAGTTATGCACTGGATATTCTGCAACTCCACAGCTCCCTTCGGCTGTCTCTCCCAACCTGGCAGTACAGCAACAGGTGCACCATCACTATCAAGGGCACACAGAAGCCTGCAGCAAAATCCACCTTCGTATTTCAAAAGCTTTGATAGGAACACCCGTTTTCTAACTTCTGATAACAGAAGCAAGTCTGTCTCATATCACTTGCAGCAGACAAAAAAAAAAAAACAACAAACCACCACACCCACATCAGAGTTCTTTCACTCCTGCTGCTGGGTACAAAGAACAAGGTCAGAGGAAGTACAAGGCTATCATTAACCCATTTCCTTGCCCTTCTTGGCCAATGGCGTGGGTGCCCATCTTCCAAAGGACAGAAGCACTTGTGTGTTCTCTAAAGGGCCCTAAATAAAACTACAAGACAGCAAAAGGAAGCATTTGAGAAATGAAAAAAATATATATATCCTAATAAAGACTTATTGAAGAAACTTGCTTTCTTAGATTGAGTTTGTCTTATGCAGTTATTTCAAGAGACAAAGAGAGTAAATACTTAGTTAGTAATTAAGTTAAATTAAGTATCCAATTTAACTGCATCAAGCTATTAGTTAAGAAAGGATTTGAGATTTTATCTAGATAATAAGGCATATTTTCCTTAGATTGGTTGCTTTTCCCTCCAAATTGGCCTAGCATAAGGCGTCAGAGTCTCTGGTTGCTCATTTAAGAAAGAAAGTCCTTCCAGTTAGCTATATGAAGTACTAAAATCACGGCACGAGGTAACAGCAGTGACAAGACAAAGCAGATCTGCAAAAATATATGAAAGTAGCTTCAAGAACAAATGTAGCTTTCAGCAAATGCCTACTGATAGTACAGTTAAAAAGCACTGCAATCAAGACCAAAACCAGCCCTTACATCCACGGATATGGAACCTAGCAGTACGATAGAAGGATCAGGTAGGCAATAGTACAGAATCACACTGAATGTTAAAGAGAAATAGATCAGCATGAATACATAGCTATTATGACAAAGAGAACTGCCTGAAGTGCCCTGAATTGCTAGTCAAGAAAACATGACTGGAACGAACAAGGACCTCACTTGAGAAAACCTGAACAGAACTGCATTTTTATTGATAGAACACAAAGAAGGTTCTTCAAAGCAAGAGGCGGAAGAAAGAAAGGAAGAAAAAAATAGAGGAGGCAAAGTTCAAAATGACCACTGAGCAACAAATAAGTGTCCAGCAGCAAAACATTTTTTCTTTTTGTGTAAGCGAAGAAATGAGCGCACTGTGGGAGGAACAGCATCCACAAGGCAACTCAAGCACAGCATCCACAAGGCAACTTAAGCACAGCTCCAGTGCGCGGAGGCACAGCTGTAGCGAGAGCACAGCCCCGCGCAGCAGACGGTCCGTGACTGCGTGATTCAGCCGTTGTCACAGAGCCATTTCTCCCCTCAGCAGCGCACAGCCCCGAGGCATCTCGGCAGCGCCCGGCTCCGCTCCGGGCTGAGGAGACGCGCCCGTCCCCGTGGCAACGCCTCCCGGCACGGCGGCCGCTCCCGCGACCCTCTGCACGTCGGGCGGGTGGACGCCGAGCAGCGCCGGGGCGCCGCCGAGCGGCGGAGCACCCCTACCCCGGGCGGGGAGCCGCCCACCGCTCCGTGTGCGCCGCGGCCGCCTGACAACTCACCGCGCCGCGTACCTTCCTCACCGACCCCGGCTGAGAGAAGCGCTCCGGCGGCGCGCACTGAGAAAATGGCGGCTCCCGGCAGCCTCTCGGCTTCGCACGGCTCGGCGGCAGCGCCCCCCGGCGGGCTGGGGGATCGCGGCAGCGCGGCGCCCGCTGTCAGACGGCGACACCCAGCGGCGGAGGGCGGGCAGCGCCTCATCCCTCGGCGGCCGCCGGGTCTCCCGTCTGCTCCTCGCGGGCTGTGCCGGTGAAACGCACGAGAGCCGAGCGACCGGAGAGCCCCAGCCCCACTCGGCATCCCGCAGGACGGGCGTCAGCACTTCCCGCTACATAGAGGCCGGGCGTGGTGCTCGAGGGCTGCCGAAAAGTGGTGGGAGGGAGCGGTTGTCTGCCTGGAGTCCGTGGTGTTTCCTACAGGGGCTGCGCAAAGGCCGTGGTGCTGCTCTCTGAGGTACCCTGCAGGTGAGGGTTGCCAGCAGCACTGCTTGCTAACTTGGCCAGGAACTTGCCTTTTTTTTTTTTTTTTCCTTTAGATTCTGCTCTCAGCAGCTCTTAAACTCGTTGCATTTCATGTATTTGTACTCAAATATCCCAGTTCATACACAAACCTCAGGTTAGTCTCTTCGGTAGCTGTAGCCAGAACCATCTATTCATTTTCAAGACTAAGATGATTCTTCTGCAATATTAAAATATCCCACTAACCTTTCTTTTTTTTAATCCATAGAAAATTGGGCACTCTCGTGCTTTACAATCTAACTAAAGTCCTGTAGTTCTTACACTGCAGAACTGCAAAAATAACAAAGTAGTGGCTCAGGAAAGTAATGGTGTCGGTAAAGCTGTTCCTGTACTTCAGGCATCTGGTGAGGTCACTGCAGCCTTCTCTCTCAAGAGAACAACGAGTTTTTCCAGTCCCGAGTTAGCAGTGCGTAGGCTGACATCTCAGCAGGTTGGCGCTTCTCCTATCCGAAATCTTGTGTCTGTACAGGTGTATCTGTACAGCGTAAAAACAAAGTAATTTCTAGATGAGAAAACCGACTGTACTGAAAATGCAGCCCATCGTTCTGGAACACAACTACAGAAATATTATTTAAGAATTAAAGTGATGTTCTTTGCTGTGAACAGAGATGGCCTCAATGAATGTTCTGTGAAAACAATTTGCTTTAGGCACAGCTGGCTGAAATATTAAAACACACTTTTCTAATAGTCTAAATTGCTGTCTGTTCCATATACACATGCCATTTCTCTTTCTTGCTCTCTCTTTTAATTTTATTTCCTATTTACTGAAGAGAAAATAATCAAAAGTAAAAGGGCTGAGTATCAAGGTCAATATTTGTGTATGCTAGAAAGAACTTGACTAAAAAAATCCAAGATGATAATTGTACTGATTTCAGTATATGAGAAATAGCTGTATTTCAATAGTAGAGATTCCTATCAAACCAAACTCAGTTCACACCATAGCAAAGCATATTTATTTATTTAAAGATCTCAGAAATATTATGACATGGTGAGAGGTTAGCAATGTAACAGTGCAGAATGAGTGTGAATATTTGATCTTATAAATCCTCATCACCCCCACATTATCAATACATTCATTAGCAATGATTTTCACAAATGCCATTGCTTTGTTGAGATTTTGATACTTTTCCAAAGAGGCAAATCATTTTTAAATATCAAATATTTTTAAATACATACAAGGTGTTTTTACAGTGACCCACTTCTGCGTTTTGATGTTTAAATCAAACATTTTGATCAAACAAAAGCCAAAACTTCTAGTCACAATACACAGGACAGCCAGAATATAAGAAAACATAGCAGAAAAGAAAAATAATGACAACAAGAAGAGTAATGCTTATAAAATGTTTTACCTTCTACACAAGCTAGTTCTTGTTCTTCTGTACAAACAATTTTAAGTTCAGTTTAAAATAAAATTCTGAATCAGTAAGTTGTACTGTAAGCCAAAACTAACAACATCTTTGGTGACTCAACATTAAAATTAATTGTATTACTTTGAAGTACCTTTCACAGTAAGCAGAGTTCTGGTAATTGAGCCAAAGAAAGTAATTAAACTTTGAGCAGAAAATCACAGGCAATATTTTTGTCAAGTTGAACTAGGCGTAGACAAATATTCCTGCTTGCTGTATTCATTCTTTCCTTTAAAATGAAACACACTCGCAGGAATTGGTTGAGTAGTCTGTATTTATAAACAAAACAAAACAACAGACTTTGTTTGCTGATTTCAAACAGAGATAGCCTCTCAGCGCTTTTTATTTGCTTTGGAAGGACTTGTATTTGCATGGAAGGACCTGTAACCACTGCCTACAAATCTTAACTCATCACAAAGCAGTTCCATTGGTTTGAGTGTCTTTGTCGTATCCCTGAATCTTATTCACAGATAAACAAACAAAAAAAGGAGCTGAAGTTTTACAAAGATGAAATATTTAGTGAGATAAGGTAATACCTCTCTCAATCTGATTGATGTACTTCATTCAATAAGGAAAATCCTGGGTGGAAGTATAAGCATGAATAGACGCAGCGTGGTTTCCGTAATACTGCATACCTGCATGACATACTGTAAAGTATTTCTTTCAGCTCATGTAATCTATACTACAAATAGGTGAAGAAACAAGTCCGTTAGATTGAAAAGCATTGCAGATGGTGTGAACAGGAACATAGAAAGGAGTCATTATCCCTCTCCACTCAGCATTCCCTACACCACATTTACAATGCTGCGTTCAGTACTAGGGAGCCCAGAACAAGAAAAACCTTGAACTGGGGTGAGGCCAGCACTCCTTGACCATCAGGATGGTGAAGCGTGGCAGAGGGAACAGGAAAGGCTTGTTCAGCCTGGAGAAGATACAGCTTTGGAAGTACTTAACAGCAGCCTTCCATCACTTGCAAAGGAGCTACCAAGGGGATGGAGGCTAGCTCTTCACAGGGGTGCCTGGTGGAGCTGTAGACAATGTAGATAAACAGAAACAAACAAGGCCTTTCCAGACATGAGGACATTCAAGCAGTCTCCAAGCTTGGAGAGTTTCACAACCAGACTAGGGCAACATGAACTGATCTCATGGCTCACCCTTGGAACGCTGGATTACATCGCCTCCTGAGATCCCTTCCAATCTGAATTATTCAGTGAATCTGTAACACAATAAATCTGATAGTCATACCAAATGCCTCTTTCAGACTTTTTTTTTTCACACAAACATGTTTCATATTTCAATACACTTCAGGATGTTTGAGTTGGACAAATATGAACTAGACAGCAAACAGTTCATTGATATGGACTGTTTAATCAGTAAGGGGTCGCAAGTCACAGAAGTTAATATGGGAATCCACCTTTGTTGATATATTCTGCAAGAAATTAAGGTAACTTCTTATTTCTTACTAATCTTATTGACATAGGAATTCTGAAGCCCAGTGCAGTACAGAACAGTAACTTAACTAGGAACATTTTCTAATGAATTTCTAATGAATATGGCACTACTAAATCAAATAACTGATAAAGAACAGATGCCTGAAATCTGTGTTTTTTTCTCTGAATTACGTCCAATGTTCTTGCTGTATTGCTGTTGAAGGAAGAGATGGAGTTGTTCGAAGGCAATATGGAAGTCCTGCATTTTTATTTTGGTCCACAGAATATCATATCTCTCTTTCAGAAAAGCATTACTCCCTTCAGGCCTTTATTTCTTTTCATCAGCATGTGATGAACATCATTCCCACTACATTTCAGTGAAGGTAGAAAGGACTAAATGGAAGCTAGAAATATTTAGGGGTATCATCATACTACAGAAAAGTTGAAAAAACATGATGAGCTTTTTCAATTTCAGGTATAAGATCTTAGGCAGGATATACTTTCCTGCAATTCCCAAATCTATTAGTGATAAAATATCCTCAGCAAAATTAAAGCATGAAATAAAGGTGGTTGTACTTAATCCAGTAACAGATGTCCCACAGAAAAGTTCATGTTCAAGTATGAAACAAGATGTCTTTGGGTGTTTTGGTGTACTGCTAGCTGAAACTAATTCCAAGTTCACTTGCATCTAATGTCAACTCAGGAAGAAGCATGGAATATTTACTTTCCTTCACAACTTTCTGAGCAGACGAGTAAAGAGAAATGCCAAATGGAGAGGAAAATGGTAAACGTGCAACTAGTGATTTACGTCAGCTCCGTTTGAGCTGATTAATGCAAGAAACAGTCATCTAGAGCTGGGATTTGAACTCAGCAAGCATTTGGCATATGGCCACATGTGGTTTTCTGCTCATAACTCCTTCATGCTGCAATATTAGCATTGGATTGCAGGTACTTACTATACATTATAATTTAGTGGTACAGTCACTTGAAAAAGGCCACGTTTAAGGCAGTGCTCGCCTATCTCCTACTTTGTGTTCAGCACAGGCTGTCCTAAAGGCAGAAAAGAGGAAGATAGGCATGAAGAGGGATGCTAGGGGGAACAAATATATCCCTTTTAGTTGGTCAGTCTGGTCTTTCAATTGCCCCACACCGTGTTGATGATGTCTGAGAATTCTTGTAAATGGGGGAAACTCAAGATGGCTGTCTAAATCTTAGAAGGGCAAGCTTGTTTTTAGTTCTTGAGCGTTTTATATTGCTGTACATGTAAGCAATATATGCGATGATTACTCATAACAAAGGTAGGTTTATTTAAGAATACACTGCCTTTGGACTCTAGTCAGAATCAAGATACCAGAAGAAAAAGAAACAGCAGAACAGAGAAACAATGGAGAAGTGCTTTCTGATCTGGGACTGAGAATAAAGAGTCAGGACTGACAGTTTGAGAAAAATATTTTCTGTCTAACAGTCTGCAAGCCCCAAGATTAGGAATTCAGGTTTTTCTTGCATGATTATCTTTAGGCACAGACACTTCTATTTTAACATACCTGATATTTGGGGTACACAACAGTAATGAGTGCATGGACCATGCTGATAAGAGTTGGGCTCACCAAATGCAGGGTTGACCTTCAAACCTTCATATTTTCTCAGTGTGGTAATACTCTTAGCTCTCACAATTAACAAATGTGAGGCAACTACAGTGTTCACACTTTCACCCACTAACA